GTTGTCCCTATTTTCCTAATATCCCTTAAAGTCTGCCAAACTCGTACATTTCATGATTGATTTCCCAAGCTCAAATATTTGCTCCTGTCAAAAACAAAATGGGCCTGAACTGACGCGTGAAGTTCACCACTTCTGACACCCATTTAATGCAAATCTTTGCTTCCAGTCTCAACAAGCCATATCTTATTTTTGGTGCTGCTCAAATGTTCATAAATAAAAGAGTAAAGGCTCTACGATTCCAACATATTCTGTCATCGACTCCAGCCAAGAGTTAAACATTATGACAGCTTTGTGGCCAAAGCAAGATAAGGTCAAAGGTTGGGATGGGGGATTATTGACTTTCTGGTGATTGATTGGCACCATATTACATTCACGAAATGGACAAGTATATTGAAGTTAATGGGAATGGAGGCGACAACAGATATGAAACTTGGCATCTACCTGCTGCCACCAATTTTGCCACACACTGTCGAAATGATCTCTGGCAAATTAAACCAAGTATTTTCTTCAAATATAAATGTATTCATTTTAATTGAGAATGCTTGTGAAACGCAAATGCAAACCTTGTAATAAGACCAACAAACAATGAATGAATATTGTCTTTTGGCACTCAGGATGCCATACTCTAGATAGAATGAAAGAGCAAACAATCACAACTGAAAAACCCTTTTTGAAAAAGGCAAACAATAAAGGGGAGGGAACCCAATGATTTCTGGTTGTTTTTTCCGACCTTGAGATAAACTGGGAAGGAGCCAGCAGGCTCGCAATCTAGAGACACTTCCAGCAGTAACAATTGTTGGCCTTTCATTGACCTCAAGGCCCATTTCCACTACTTCCCTCAGGAAGTGTCCAGGCCCATTAAAAAGATAGGACAGTTTCAAAATCCCAACTGCGGTAACTACCGACTAATCTCCAGCAATAGGTAGGCAACCAGCAAACCCACATTCCTACTTAATATAAGCCTTTTTTTTGTAAACTTGATTCATTCTTGGGATGTAGGCACTTCTGCCAGCAACAATTTTTGTGCATCTTAATTGGCCATGCCCAGACATTCCAGAGTCAGCCACCACTGTTGTGGGTCTGAAGCAACAAATCTGATCAGATATCAGATGGCAAATGTTATTAGTGATGTCAGTAATGGGTGCTTTGCAATAATCAATGGTGTTTTCATTGTCACTATTTCCAAGACTAACTTTCAATTCCACATTCTGTTCATTGAATTTAAATTCTACCAGCAACCCCTGTGAGATTGAACCTATGTTGCCAAATCGTTCACTTGGGCCTCTGGATGACTAGCCTTTCGACATTACCATCATTACCAGCGCCTCTGCCCATGTCCTGTGAAGCCTCTCCCGCCAGCTCATTAATACTCAGTGTCAGCTTGGGTCTGCTTCAAGATATTTGTGTTGTGGGTGTGGGAATGTTCTGTTCAATTCATGCATATAGTGCAATGACTAACATTAGACAGAGATGTAGAAACTCAGAGCAGGAGGTCATTCAGCCCTTTGAACTTGCTTTGCCATTCAATATGATCATGACTGATCCTCTGTCTCTACGCTACCTTCCTACTTTTGCCTTTGATGCCTTTAATACCTAAACATTGTCAATCTCTCTCTTGAATATAGTCAGTGACCCAGCTTCCCAAGCCTCTGTGATGTGTTAGTTCCAGTTTCTCATTGTACATAGAAGTCACTTTGTTGGGGTTTTTTTACAGACCCCCTAATAGTTGTAGAGAAGTGGAGGAGCGGATTGGGAGGCAGATACTGGAAAGGTGCGGAAGTCACAGGGTTGTAGTCACGGGTGACTTCAACTTTCCAAATATTGATTGGAAACATTTTAGTTGTAATAATTTAGATGGAGTGGATTTTGTCCAGTGCGTTCAGGAAGGATTCCTGACACAGTACGTAGATAGACAAGGAGAGGCCACTTTAGATTTGGTGCTTGGCAATGAACCGGGCCAAGTGTTAGACCTGTTGGCAGGACAGCATTTTGGCAGTAGCGATCATAACTCTGTTACTTTTACAATCGTCATGGAAAAGGATAGGTACATACAGCAGGGTAAGGTTTATAATTGGGGGAAGGGTAATTACAATTCTGTTAGGCAAGAACTGGGTAACATAAAATGGGAACAGATGCTGTCAGGGAAGAGCACTATAGAAATATGGAAATTGTTTAAGGAATGCATTCTGCGTGTGCTCGATATGTTTGTCCCTAGCAGGCAGGGAAGATGCGGTCGAGTGATGGAGCCTTGGTTCTCAAGAGAGGTCCAACGACTGGTTAAGAGGAAGAAGGGTGCTGATGTAAGGTTGAGGAAACAAGGAACGGAAAAGGCTCTAGAAGGATACAAGTTAGCCAGGAAGGAGCTGAAGAAAAGGCTAAGGAGAGCTATAAGGGGGCATGAGAAAACCTTGGAGATAGATCAAGGAAAACTTCAAGGCTTTTTACATGTAGGTGAGGAATAAGAGAATGACCAGGGAAAGGGTAGGGCCGATCAAGGATTGTATAGGGAATTTGGGAACGGAGCCTAAAGAGATAGGAGAGGTCCTTCATGGATACTTTTCTTCGGTATTCACAACTGAGAGGGACCTAGTTGTAGAGGAGGACAGTGTGAAACAGGCTGGTAGGCTAGAGGAGGTCGATGTACTAGGAATTTTGAGGAACTTGAAGCTAGATAAATCCCCCGAGCCTGGTGGGATTTATCCAAGGATTCTATGGGAAGCAAGGGAAGAGATCGTAGGGCCTTTGGCGATGATCTTTTCATCCTCACTGTCCACAGGTATAGTGCCGTAAGATTGGAGAGAGGCAAACGTCATTCCCTTGTTCAAAAAAGGGAATAGGGATAAGTCTGGAAATTACAGGCCAGTTAGTCTTACGTCAGTGGTGGGCAAATTATTGGAAAGGGCTCTGAGAGATAGGATTTATGATCACTTGGAAAGGCACAGTTTGATTCGTGATAGTAAGCATGGATTTGTGAGGGGTAGATCATGCCTCACAAACCTTATTGAATTCTTCGAAGAGGTGACCAAACACATGGATGAAGGTAGAGCAGTGGATATGGTATGCATGGATTTAAGTAAGGCGTTTGATAAGGTTCCCCATGGTAGGCTCATGCAGAAGGTAAGGAGGCATGGGATAGGGGGAAATGTGGCAGATTGGGTTCAGAATTGGCTGACCCTTAGAAGACAAAGGGTGGTAATGGACAGAAAATATTCAACATGGTGCTCAGTTACGAGTGGTGTACCACAAGGATCTGTTCTGGGTCCACTTCTATTTGTGATTTTTGTAAATGATTTGGATGAAGGAGTGGAAGGGTGGATTAGCAAGTTCGCGGATGATACGAAGATGGGTCACGTTGTGGACAGTGCGGAGGGCTGTTCTAGGTTACAAAGGGACATTGATGGAATGCAGAGCTGGGCTGAGAAGTGGCAGACGGAGTTTAACCCTGAAAAGTGTGAGGCGATTCATTTTGGAAGGACAAACTTGAAAGCAGAATACAAGGTTAACGGAAAGATTCTTGGCAGTGTGGAGGAGCAGAGGGATCTTGGGGTTCATGTCCACAGTTCCCTGAAAGCTGCCACCCAGGTGGATAGAGTTGTTAAGAAGGCATATGGTGTGTTAGCTTTCAGTAATAGAGGGATTGAGTTCGAGAGCCGTGAAGTTATGCTCCAGCTATACTAAAGCCTGGTTCGGCCACATCTAGAGTATTGTGTCCAGTTCTGGTTGCCTCATTACAGGAAAGATGTGGAGGCATTGGATAAGGTGCAGAGGAGATTTACCAGGATGTTGCCTGGAATGGAGGGAAGGTCTTACAAGGAAAGGTTGAGAGAGCTAGGGCTTTTCTCTTTGTGAGGTGACTTGATAGAGGTGTACAAAATGATCAGAGGTATAGACAGAGTAGACAGCCAGAGACTTTTTCTTAGGGTGGAGGTAGCTATTACGAGGAGGCATAGTTTTAAACTGAGTGTAGGTAGATATAGGGTAGTCGTCAGAGGTAGGTTCTTTACTCAGAGAGTGGTAAGGGTGTGGAATGCATTGCCGGAGAGGGTAGTGGAGTCAGCCTCATTAGGGGCATATTAAGTGGCTATTAGATAGGCATATGGATGATGGTATAAGGTAGGGGTGGAGGTTAGATAGACTTTAGGATTAGGGTAAAAGTTTGACACATCATCGTGGGCCAAAGGGCCTGTACTGTGCTGTACTGTTCTATGTTCTATGTTCCATGTTCTATATTAAGTACATGTTATCATCAGCATTACTAAAGGAGAGGTGTAGGTGCAGGACTCACTGTGATCACTTTATCTTATCTTCTTAATGGTGCAAAACCTGACTACATTTCTCCACGAATCCCGTGTGGGTGAGTAGAAGCACATTACTGCAGATGCTGGAATCTGTACTGAAAACAAAAAATGCTGCAGATCACAGCGAGTCAGGCAGCATCCATGAAGAGAAAGCAAGCTAAAATTTCAAGTCTAATTGACTCTTCATCAGAGCTGGTGAAGTGTCATCTAGACTTGAAACATTAGTTTGCTTTCCCTGCATGGATACTGCCTGTCGCGCTGTGACCTCCAGCATTTTTTGTTTTTAGTATGGACAAATGCTACAACAATTTCGACAACAGCTATTTAAAACCTGGGTGCATTAATATTGAGCCACGGAAAAAGCCTCTACTTCCATGTTTATCTCTAGGGCTGACCTGAGGATGATCATTACAGCTCACTAAATGAAACCAATACGGTTGCTTTCAGTGGTCGATGTAAATTTACCAAAAAAGTGTTAAATGAAACAATGCACAAGTTGCATTGGAATTGAATTGGATCATTTATGACTTGTACAAATATGTGCCTTCCAAGTATTCATGAGTCATGTTTGTGTCATTACTTACCTGGACACCTTAAAGAACGTAAATAATTCCTCAACCAAATACAATAAACAAGTCTGCATTTGATCACAAATAGAAAAACACATCAACGTGAAATCAAAGAAACTAAAAAAAAACTTACTTTACAGCAATGGATCGAATCTTGGTTTTCTCCACCTGCAAGTACAAAGAAAACAATTAGCTGAAAGAATACAGATGGACAGTCATTGCAAAGGCTTTAACAATTTAAGAGTTTCAGCACTTAGCAATGGACCAACATGCTTTGAAGCACAAGAAAATCAGAAGAAGCATGGTATTTAACTTTGTACAAAGATTGCTGTTAAATCGACTGAACACAGTCACTGCAGCACTTCTCGGACTGACAGTTGCTCAGAAGTATATGCCATAGCTCAGCTGGCAGCATTCTTGCCTTCAAATGGAAGAGTTGTGGGCTCAATACCCATTCCAGGACTTGTGCACAAGTATCTGGGCTGTTACACACGTGCATTACTGAAGCCTTTCGGATGAGATTAAACTTATTGAGCCCCTTATTGAGTGAACAATCCCACGGCACTGTTTTGAAGAGGAGTAGGGGAGTGACATCACTAACATTAAATCCTCAACAACATCATGAAAGCAGCAACAAAGTCATAGAGTCATACAGTATGGAAACAGACCCTTCAGTTCAACTTGTCCACGTGACTGAGTCTCCAAAACTAAAATAGTCCCACCTGCCTATATTTGGCCCACATCCCTTTAAACGTTTCCTAATCATGTACTTATTCAAATGTCTTTTAAACGTTGTAACTGTTCCTGCATCCACCACCTCCTCTGCCAGGTCATTCCATTTACAAATCACCCTCTGTGTGAAAAAGTTGCCCCTCAGGTTCCTTTTAAATCTTTTTCCCCTCACCTTAAAAGTATGCCCCCTAGTTTTGAACACCTCCACCCTAGGGAAAAGACATTTGCTGTTTGCCTTATCTATGCCCCTCATGATTTTAAAAACATCTATAAGATCACCCCTCAACCTCCAACTCTCCAGAGACAATGTGTCCTAGCCTATCCTTATAACTCAAACCCTCCAGTCCCAGCAACGTCCTGGTAAATCTTTTCTGAACCCTCTGAAATTTAATAACATCTTTCTTATAGCAGGTCGACCAGAACTGTATACAGTGCTGCAAAAGTGGCCTCATCAATGTTCTATACAACTTCAACACGACTTCCCAACTCCTGTGCTCAAAGGTCTGAGCAGTGAAGACAAGCATGCTAAATGCCTTCTTAACAGCCCTGTCTACCTCTGTTCCTCAAAACTACCCAGGGCCCTACCACTAATTGTAGATGTCCTGTCCTTGTTTGTGTTTTATCCAAATTTAACTCCATCCGCCACTCGTCAGCCCATGGCCCAACCTTTGTAATCTTAGATAACCTTCTTCACTCGATACAGTGTGGAGCTGGAGGAACACACGGTCCTGATGAAGGGTCCTGACCTGAAAAATCAGCTTTCCTGCTCCTCTGATGCTGTCTGACCTGCTGTGTTCCTCCAGCTCCACACGTATTGACCCTGACTCCAACATCTGCAGTTCTTGCTATCTCCGAGTAACCTTCTTCACTGACGACTATACCAACAACTTGGATGTCATCTGCAGACTTACTAACCATGCCTCCTAAATCTGTTTGTTCCCAATGCAGGGTTTGGACATTGTCATTAAAAATGGCTACTGTGATCCATGTGTGCATACGCTGTTGTATTTGGGACATCATACCAGTCATCACAAAGAGCAAAATCTGTGGTAAACAGTTGTTTTTTTGTAAGGAAGTCTTTGGGGACACAGTCATAACACTTAAGTTAATTATATTGTTGCCTTACACATTTCTTCCCTTTGTTTTTTCAAGGGATGTTGACTTTGCTGGCATGGAATTACACAGTGTACTGAGTAACTTACTAGACTATGTTAGAGGGTAGTTAAAAATCAAGCACATTGCTGTAGGTCTGGAGTCACATGTAGGTCAGTCTGAGTAAGGGCAGCAGATTCCCTTCTCTAAAGGACATTAATGAACCAGATGAGCCTTTTATGACAATCAATGATTGCTTTCTAGTCAACATTACACAGGCTAGCTTTCAAATTGTCATTTATTAACTGACTATAAATTCCACCAGCTGCCATTGTAGGATTTGAAATCTTGCCCCCAGATCATTAGCCTGGGATTCTGGATGACTGGTGTTATTGCCCTTCTTAATGAAGCTTTAAGTTCACAAGAATTGTTTCTCTGTCGTTTCCATCAATAAAGGGGGAAGTTGGTGCGCAGAGGATGAAGTGTCACCATGAGACTATGGAAATCAGATGGAGACATTGCTAGATGTTTTCAGATGATCACCAAGTGTCGCTCCAACGTTACGCACGCAGCCCTCCGCCAAGTGATGGCACTGGCTGGGTCAAGCAAATCACCCGGTCGTCACCACATCGCTGTCTGTGGGATCGTGCTGCGCACAAACCGGCTGCTACGTTTCCTGCATTACACTTCGAAAGGACACCTCACGGGCATTTTGGGAGGCACAGAGGTCTCAAGAAGGTGCGACAGAAACGCAAGTCGTCCCTCATCGTGACAACAAGGTGCAGGGCTGGATGAACACAGCAGGCCAAGCAGCATCATAGGAGCAGAAAGGCTGACGTTTCGGGCCTAGACCCT